GTCAAGCATCCACAGAGATTGAAAACTTCTCTTATTCAGATGATTACAAATAATACAATGGCGATGATGAATATATGAAATAATTCATATATTTGAACTGCGGTGGAAAGATAGCCTGTTCCAGGCATTCGGATAGTGGGAGAAGAGACGCGAAAAGACGCGCAAAGCGCGAAGAGCTGAGTGGGGAGTGAATAATAGGCGTGGGGATTGGGGAGATAACTTAAGCAGTTTAAAAGAAGGTCTGCAAAAAAATCAGGCTCCAACGGATTCGAACCCATGACCTTTGCGATTCCGGTGCAAACGCTCTACCACTGAGCTATGAAGCCACTGGGAGCTGGTCAATAATACAATGTCTCCAAAATGTGTAGCACAACAAGTGGTCACTTACGAGAGCTTAAAAACAAAGGAAACGACCGGTTGGAAATCCCAAAAGTGGTCGCTGTCGCTTACCGATGCCGCGAGCGGTCGCTTACGAGAGCTTTTAATTACAGAGTTTGAGTGACAATTCACAAACGGGGTTTCACGATGGTGGTCGTAACTAGAGCTTGTTCGCTTACGAGAGCGGTCGCAACGAGAGCTTCGACTCGGTATGTAAGCAAACCTCCTATAAATCATTAACATTTATTTTAAATATTGTTTTGGTTAAATTAAAATGCTTAATTTGTTTATATACATACATGTAAACGTATAAAAGGCGACCGATATACCGACGACGAGAACAAATTAAACATCAATCACCAAATTCCATAATGTACGATAACACTGATATGCCTAATATAGCGATAACATAACCGTTGCTGCCTCGTCCCCAGGCGTCGCTCCTTGTTTGAGCGCGGTGCGCGTGGGGTTGTGGGACTAACCATCAAGCCCCGCGCGCCCTGTTTTCCCGCTCGCAACGGCGCCTGGGGACGAGGCAGACAATATTGTAAAAGGGACAAGAAGTGGGATAGCTTATATCACATCCGTCATCTCCAGCTTGGCCGAGGACCGGGTGAGTTGGGAACGAGCTGTGCAGCTTGAAATTCATCTGAGCGAGAAAGGTAGAACCAAAACTGGTTGGAGAAGAGGGAGCGCCGAAAGCAGCAGTCGTCATCACCACCTGCGGCAATTGCAGCATGGACTGACACTCAAGGATTGTCCTCCACATCCACTCCAGACATTGTTCAAAATAATTAAACAAGAGCCCGGCATAACCGTCGTCTCTAGAGACAGATGCGGGCTGCCTACTACTACTACTGCGATAACATCGTCATAAAATCATTGCCGACTTGATGACACTATGGGCTCCTGACTAAGTACGGTGTATGATCAGTGTAGTAGTCGACCAACATGCATTCTCGTCCCCAGAGCTACGCGGTATTTTTTAAATGTTGACCAAAAGAAACGGAAGATCTGGGAACAGTTAGTTAGTTATGTTAGTTATGAAAGGCGCGCGAACACTTGCAGCTATGCGACCGTGCGCAATAGTAATAAAAATCAAAATTAGTTGTATGTTCTCAGTGAATAAAATAAAGATAGTGAGAAAGATGTGCATTTATAATAATAGTTATTTAGAGGTTTTGAATGGTTGATAATGGAACTTTGCATCTCTGAATTAGGGTGGTCCCTTTTTCTTACACTATTGCTGGTTTGCAACCATTCCCGAGATATTTAAATGACAAAGACCCTGGCGGCCATGTTGGATGACAGGAACAATAAAGCTAATTATAATTATTTTGTTAATGGTCATCCAACATGGCGGCGATGACGTCAGTTGCAAACCAATAATTTCTGCTTCTTCTATGATATTTTTATTTTACAATAGTTTTAATACATTTGCAATGTACAGTTGTGACATTTTTCATCTCAAAAAATATTTATATTCGGCGCATCATGGAACGTGTTTTTCCCGCTGCTCTCGCTTCCACACGATGACAGTTCCCTTAAAAGACAACACATTTTAAAACAAAGTAAGTACGAGCACAATAAAGACTTAACTATATAACTGACATAATGGGACATAATGTCACTTCACTGGTATCTAGTTTAATTTTGTAAGGCGCATTTGATCATATTTACATGTTAATTTGCGCCATATAAATAATAAATATTATTATTATTATTAACTCCACTCCACCTCACCCCCCCCCCCCCCCCCCCCCCACTACATGTACCTCCACAACATCTTAGTCCCAACACTGCCTGAAAGATCAGCATGATATCTAATACTAGAAATATTGCACTACGGTCACATCCCTTCTCCAACAATTTAGAATGAGTCCACGGTTTTCGTGCTCAAAGATGCTTAGCAACGTCAACATGAAGGGGTTAAAAAAATCCAACCAATTCTCAGCGTACACCTTTGGAGCCGGATGTAACAAAAAATACAGTGGAACATCTACTTTGGGACACCTCTATTAGGGGCACTTCTCCTTTGTCCCGAGGGCGTTGCCTAATGAGGTTCCACTGTAGTAGCTTTCCCCTTGTTTGTAACTGCGGGCAAAATCGAACCCGGCGAGAGCTCTCATGACTCACCAACCTCAGTATCACAGGATGCGAGAAGACTTTCGTCATAGTTCCAGCAAACGTCAAGGACTGGTGCCGAGTGGCCAAGAGCTTGTTCACACACGGCTTCTCGGCGCGCCTCGACATCAAAGAAATATACCGTCATATCTTTCACTGGGCACTAACTGGAGAGAGAAACAGATTATACATGAAAGAACGTCAGACGGTATTATCATATTTTAAAGGAGCTATGTCACGATATTTTAAGTCATTTTTGCGAAGTGCAAAATCACCTTCAAACTGAAGAAAGCTTCGAAATAATTGTTTACTAAGGTAGAAAAACACCAAAGAGGTAATAAGGAACCAAACAGGAACAAGGATGGTTGAGGATGGAGAAGATTAAGATGGATTGCGAACGGCGAACTTGAAAGAAATGGCCAATTTTTTCAAGATGCGCGATCCGTGACGTAGCTCCTTTAAGGTAATTCCTGGTAATAGAAAACCAAAACATAGATTTCCGATGAACTTGGTACACTTTTGTAACAAGTCAAGGAGATAATAAAAACGTGATAAAAGAGGGGGTCACGGTGCATCCGTCTCCACGCCACAATGCTGACGAGTGCGGTCATTTGGCCCCTTTTGGCCAAAACCGTGCGCAGCAATAAGCTCGATGTTTTTCAATTGCAGCCGTGATATCGCACAGAGTTTGACTTTATTCCATTGTTTTATTCACCGACGTTCCAGAAAAATGTCTTCGATTCCTTTGTATTTACTTTAGCACTCCAAAGTAGATTCAAATTGGATATGCGCTGTGGGGCCGTAGTGGCTCCCTCCAGAGAATTTAGTTAAATTGCCATATTTTAGGAAAGATATTATGTCGTATAATAAACCATTTATTCACGCGAAAGTTGTGTATACGGCTGGGCATTTTTACGAGTCAGTTTTTATTTTTTCGAGCCTTTAGGCGAGAAAAAAATAAACACTGACGAGTCACTCCATGATTTCGATCAGTTTGTTTTTCTTTCTTTCCCCCCTTTTTGTACTTTTAAAGGGGCTTACGTCACGGATGGCGCATCTTGACAAAAATTGGCAATTTTTTTCAAAGTTCGCCGTTCGCAATCCGTCTTAATCTTGTCCTCACCTCAACCATCCTTGTTCCAGTTTGGTTTATTATCACCTCTCTGGTGTTTTTCTACCTTAGAAAAACAACTATTTCGAGGCCTTCTTAATTTAAAGGTGATTTTTCACTTCGCAAAAATGACTCAAAATTATGTGACATGTTCGCTTTAAGATGTGGTGGAAAGTGCGCGTCGCTTTGCATTTGTTTTGTTAACTGGGTTTCCACACTATTGGGTTGACAACAATACATAAACAGATGTACGGTACCGCACACACGGCCTTGTCTGAACGACATCAGGGGACAAACGAGCTTCTTACATGGCAGACTTGTGTTCGACGGAAAATGACTTTTTCAATTTTAAACTGCCCATATCGTCAACAACTCTGAAATGACAAATATTAAAAGTTATTACACATTTAAGAGAGAACGTTTGCTTGAAAGATAAATCGATGTCTGTGCGCCTCGTAAAGCTCTGTATAACATGTACAGTAAATGAAGGAGGTGGAGATGGTTGGACACGTCATGCGATTAGATACATCAATACCCGCAAGAACACGCCTAACCTGAGCTCCAGAGGGAAGCGAAAGAGAGGGAGACCCAAGTCAACATGGCGTCGGACGATAGAGAAGGAGCTGGAGAATGCTGGGTATACTTGGGGCACGGCCAAGAAAGTTGCCCAGGACAGAGAAGCTTGGCGTGATCTTATTGAAGCCTTATGTGGCCACTCGGCATGAATAGGAGAGTGAGTGAACATGTACAGTAAGTATTTATTTGTTTAGACGGAAGCTAGTTCAGCTTCTAATGTCCCAAACAGAGTATGGGAGAAGGAGTCAGGCAGTGCCGAAAACAGCGGTAGTTTGACTGTTGTCCTCAGTCCAAACTATGCATAAGTCATGTAAAATACAGTGGAACCCCGCCATACGACCACCCCGTCAATACGACCACCCCGTTATTACGACCAACCTTTCTGTGGCCCGAACAAAAGCCCACTCATTTTCTTATATGAAAACCCCGTTAATCCGACCACCCCGTAATTACGACCAACGACCACCTTTTAGAGTCCCCAGTCGTTTATTTTCTTTACAATGCCTGGTGAGACTGCTGAATGAAATATACACAATCTGACAAACAATAACACATTTTAGTGAGCTGTCCGGAAAAGTTTTAGCGATTAGCGCGTTCAATTTATAGCGGAATTAAGGTATAGTTGTCATGGCATTATTTAGAAGGGTGTAGTCTCATAATTTAACCCTACCCCGTTAATACGACGCACCCCGTTAATACGACCAGATTTTTCATGGCCCGATGGTGGTCTTATTAACGGGGTTCGCACTGGTAAATGATAACGTATTATTGAACATGGTTATACATGTATGGTCCACTAAGCTCCCACGAGTCTCCTGTAGCTCAGTGGTAGAGCGTCCGCCCGGTGTGCGAAAGGTCATAGGTTCGATTGCTGCTGGGAGAACTCGGAATTCTTGTTCCGAGTAGCTTGTGTCACTGACTGGATAATATCTTTCTCAACAACACATTACTTACCCATACAGACAAAGTATATTAATGGCGACATTAACAAGCAGTGCAGGATCCGAGGCTTCACGATTCATCCACTGCGATAATGAGATTGACGTCACAGGACTACCTTCCGCTATAGACATCCTGTAAAAGAAGGTAAAACTACAGTTAAATATATAAGAGTAAAATGTATGGATCAGCTGCCCTATTCCCCACACGGGAAGAAGGATCTGATGTATGATGTATGGATCGGCGTACGGTCGGGACGAACATTCCTGTCCGTTGTTAGAGAGGTGGCCCTTATACCAAGTAGATGGGCAATTAATTTCAGAAGTAATCCTAAAACTGTTTCTAATGATCAGGTTGAATGAACTTACCGTTTTGGTTTTGTGAAAGCCTTCCAGATGCCACATCAAAACAAAAAGAATATATGCTTCCCTGGAATTCAAATAAGACTCATCTTAAATTAAGTCATACTTGTCTAGTAACGCTTAAAGGAGATAAGGTCATGAATTTGCGCATCCTGAAAACTTTAGCCTGCATTTTTCAAGTTTTGCAATCTGTCTCGATCTTCCCAAATCTTAGCCACCCTTGTTCCTGTTTGGTTTATTGTTACCCTCTTTGCCTTTGGTTGATTTTCTATCTTAGTTTTTTATGGTTTCCTTCGATTTGAAGGGATTTTGTCCATCGCGAAAAAAAATGACTAAATATTTTGTGCATATAAGTTCGAATATAATTATCATGCCGTGTGTTGTATACATGTATATGTAGACGTGCGGATTTATGAAGGGTCTTCTAACACAGATAGTTATATTAGAATTAATGATAGTATACATGTACCTTTTCGTCTCCACCCAAACAAGAACACCTGAAGAGTCAAACTCCATGGACTTGACACCGGCTGACACTTTAGCGCTGCCACCCTACACAGAAAGTGATAAACACATTATAAGTCACCAGAAGTACATTGGGATATATCCTACTGCACCCTCTCCCGAGAGAACGGAGGAGAAGAGGAACTAGGGACCCCTTAGGCCATGTTGTGTTACGATAATCGATTTGATTCGATACGATTTGATTCAAATTTCAATTTGCTCACATCATAGGGCCAAAAATAATCGAGTTATAACGCACGTATTGCGTTACACATCATAAAACCGGCATGACCTTGGTATGGTGTAAGTTAAAGGATCGAATAACGTGCTAAAGGTCACAGTCATATTTATAGCAGGCTACATGTATTTTGGAACGGTGATTTCGTCTTTTCTTTCCGAATATTTAATTTTCGATGGCGATTCCTGTAATAAACTCAATACGCTGATAAACTTCAGAGAAATATTTCAGCTCGTACAGCCTAGGGAAATGGTCTCTGTATTGAACAGAATTTTGAAGCTTGAAAGGCACGGCTAATGCATTCTCTGAGTAGAAAACAAGCACTCGTGACAGTGGTTTGTTTGCATAAATTGGGCGCTACACACATGCGTCTTTGTAGTGTACTATAAGGGAAACCGCGACACAAAAGAAAAATATATATACCTTGTGCTGTTGCATTAGTATTTTGAACCGTTGTTAAAAGCAAAATCTCGTAATTCAATTTCCATACGTTTCTTTTAAAATTTCCAAAAGTTAACATCTTAGGATCTAGTGATCCCATGACAAAAGCTCCACATAAACTAATGATGTTGTGTTTGTGTAACACAACATAAAAACGGGGAACTTGTCATGTGATGAGGGCAAACTTGCAAACAGGCGAAACAATTTATCCAAACCAATTTATCAATGACTGTATACAGTGTGGCACTAAATATTTGAGGGAGTTTAACTTTGCGGATTGGTAAATTTTTGTGTTTTGCGGGAAATAATTTTAATTTGCAATTTGGCAAAACTGATTTGTTCGATTCTCAATTAGGAATTTTTTCCATCTGTACGATGGCAGATCGTTTTAGATGACAATGAAATTTTCTTTTAGGGTGATAGAACGATTCTGACAATCATGAATATCAGTATAACAGTAAAATTTTGGCGTAAACCTTTTCTGAAGAGAACCCTGAGAGGTTGAAAGTTCTGGACAGCCAGCGAACTTTTTAATGCTCCAAACTGTTGTAAAATATATAAATCTAGAAGAAAATGGCGTAAACCTGCGGATCGTGAAAAAGAAAAAAAACGCAAATTCGTATTTCAGCTCATGACATCGTGTGGATTCCCGGGGGGTACTCAAAAAAGTTTTATAGCGGGAGGCTCCGCCCAGAGTTCCAACCCCTTACCCTTTCATATACCATTTTTCACAGAAAAGGTACCCCTTTCATATACCTTCCATAGAAAATGGTACCCCTTTCACATACCTACAGTAGAAGCACTACATCCCTTTTCTATACCCTTGTAATGAACTTAATGAACAATATATATCACCAGAAATCATCAAGCATTACCATTAGAGATGTTAGCCAAACGATAATATCATTTACTCGTGAAATACCCTACCCTTTCATATACTTCAACTCGTGAAATCCCTACCCCTTTCATATACTTCAACTCGTGAAATCCCTACCCTTTCACATACCTCGAGCCTAAAAAAGTACCCCTTTGGGGCGGAGCCTCCCCGTATAGTCCATTATAGGGAGTACCGCCCCCCCCCCCCACCCCCGCCCGGGTGTGGATTACGCTTTCTGCAAGTAAGCCCCACGCACAAAAAACGTACCTTAAAACCTTTACCAGTGGACATGTTGAAAACATTTAGATGACCCTTCTGGTTACCAGTCTTTTTGTTGCATTAAGGAATTTATACCTTGACCCATTTAGTCACAAGCCCAAATCGTCCATTATCCTTACTCAGTGATAATTTCATTCCAATGCGTTTCTTAGATCTCAACATTTTGGTCGCACATCAGCAATATATAACATCATTATTATCTTGATCTTAAACCTCAATTTATAACATAAAACGTGTTAATTTGATTTCTCTTTTCATTTATATCTAGTATGTAATATTTTCTATTTACGATATATTTTTTGTATTTGAGTGAAATAAAGATTATTGTTGTTTTATTATTTCTCTTAACTTGTATCGACCCTTTTACTAATTAACTTCCATTTTAGTCCCAAACTCAAAATATGATTATTATTCTTTATAATTAATTTTCATGCATTACTTTGACGTAAGTTTGGAGAAATTGTGGTACACCACGACAACAGTTAGTGATGATTGTAGTGGTATTGTAAGGATATATTAATATAAATTGTGTATTTAAATAACTTGATTAACTTGATCTTGATTTAAATAAACTCAGCAGTGGTGCATGCTTGCTACTATTTAGCATCTGTGATTCAAGAAGGATACAAGCAGCATGTTGTTATTAACAGGCTGAAATCTACACGCTGTCATGCCACAGGAATGATTGTCGTTTACGACACGTAAGCACTGCCCAGAGGCTGGGTCCCAGACCCTTGCAGTGCAGTCCAAGGACGAAGACAATATGAAGTCATTGGTTATCGACCAATCAAAGTCTGATGAAAGAACAGTATTGAATTACCATGTCTACATGTACTGTACATGCGCGTAAGCAGTGTTTCAGACAGAGAGGGTCTCAGGTCAAAAACCCGACAAGGTTGGTTAGCTAACCTGACAAATTAAATAATGGAAAACTTCATCTAGATTATTATTCTACTACATGTACTGTACTGTATATGTATATTATTTTGATTTGATTTCTGTTGTTTAACTTCATATAAGTCAAGCAAGAAATTAACAAGATTAGATGAGATTAGAAATGGCAATTACAGTCAACAAATCTGTAACTTCCATTCCAAGTTATTTTATTGTTTTTTTACCTACCCGTTACTGCTGCTGCATGTCCTCTGAGTGTGCAGGTCACAGATGGAGGCGACGGCACAAGTGCACAGACAGACAGTGTCCCATCAGTGGAACTACATGCCAAGCGATACTTGTCATCATGAGCAAATTTGATGGCAGTGACTATCAACAAAAACAAAACAATACACAGTACACATAATCAATTGTGGGAGCTCGCAAAAATCCAAAATCCGCATCCTTACCACTTTCAGCATGTTGATCAAAGATGTGATACATCCCAGCAAAGGCATAGTTCTCACCCAAACTTTGTATTCCCTGCCATCCGCCTTGAAGTCGGAGATAAAATACAAAATATTTTTTTATATTGATCAGCATGTTAAAATTCATCTGGTTCGACTATACTGTACTTTTCAAAGATTTTGGGTAATTTCATGGTTTATCAGTTTCCTTTAGAACCCAGATTCTCATATGCAGCACTGCTTCATGATCCCAGTCAAACACTTGGAAAAAAGTAAAATAAAAAATTGGCAAACAGCCTCTGGTTCCATGTGCTTCACTCATGATGCCACCAGTCTTACAATGTACTTGTGCCTTTCCTGTATATTGGACTGAACCCGGAACTACATGGTAATAAATAATTATGTGCACATGTATGTATCAGAAAATCCTGCAGAAATTAGGCAGAGGCCTAGTATATGTGTCAATTTGCTACACATGTACAACAACATACAGAGAACAACAACAAAATAATGATACAACGTAGCCGACCGGTAGAGACAAAAAAGTTTTAAGGTACATGTAATATTAGTGTCACATGTACAGTGTACCTGCTCGCCTCAGCCTTGCGGGTGGGTACTACACCCCTTTGGGGAGGACTCTGGCAGATCAGGTGCAGGCAAGAACTTGAAGGAACCTGCACTGTGGTAACGGCGATGTGTGGGGTGGCCAGGGGAATGTCCCCCTTCAGACGAATCAATGTGCAAGGAATCAAAACTGGTCTAGAAGGACAAGATTAGAAGGATTAATGGATTAGCTTAATCCTGCATTTAACAACCAGGGCCCTGATGACTTATTGAGACCACTACATTGTACTTACAACTTCTTCACCGAATCCCTTCCTACTAAAGAGAAATTATGTGGTT